AGGCAACAGGGGATAGCCCAACTCCTTGGGCCCCTGCACTCATGCGCTAGACCCAGAGGAAGCTTCTGGCCTGGCTCCAGCCATTGTGGCCACCTAGGGAGTGAATCAGCAGACGGAAGATCTCTGTCTCTTGGCTTTTCTCTAATTCTGCCTTTCAAATTTAAAATTCTAAAATATCGGACTTCTTGATCAATATCCCACAGATACTTAGTAAAAGCCCCAGGACCAGGACCCACCAAGGTCCAGTATCTAATTCAAGGTTCTTTCCAAGCCCCACACAAAGGCAGCGGATAGAGGAGGGCGGGGAGTAGCAGGCGCAAAGCCTTCAAACCACAGCCTGGCCATCAACTTCCCTGCGGTCTAGGACTTACACTGTGAGGATGGATATGGTAATCACGTCATTTCACCCTGAACAGAAGCCCAGAATCATGAGGACACAGTCCCAAAGACACACACATCCGAGCAGGAACCTGTGTTCCATGGCCTGCCTGGGGTGCCCGTGTTCCGGGCCTGCCTTGGGTGCCGTGTCCCGTGGCCTGCCTGGGGTGCCCGTGTTCCGTGGGGCCTGCCTGGGGTGCCGTGTTCCGTGGCCTGCCTGGGGTGCCCATGTTCCGTGGTGCCGTGTTCCATGGCCTGCCTGGGGTGCCGTGTTCCATGGCCTGCCTGGGGTGCCCGTGTCCCGTGGCCTGCCTGGGGTGCCGTATTCCATGGCCTGCCTGGGGTGCCCGTGTTCTGTGGCCTGCCTGGGGTGCCGTGTTCCGGGCCTGCCTGGGGTGCCGTGTTCCGTGGCCTGCCTGGGGTGCCATGTCCCGTGGCCTGCCTGGGGTACCGTGTCCCGTGGGGCACAGGGACGGCCAGTGCACCAGCAGGTAACAGGAGCTTGAGAGCACTCACGCTATTACTTTTCACAAATTAAATTGTGCAGTCTTAAGATTTTTTAACACAAGTTCCAGAAACATCTTGTGATGAGACTAACAGACATGTTCACCTCACTTTCCAAAAATAGCACAAGAGGAAAGCAACACCACAGACCTCCTGCTTCTCCGTGACTTGAGCAAACCCATCACTGCCAGTCCAGAACATTATGGAAAGCACAGCTGCGGCAAATCTACTGCCTCAGTTTTCCGTACAGCTAAGGCAGTTTGGTTCACGTGCCAAGATACTAAAACTTCAGAATCCAGCATATAACGCCAGAGAAAACATCGTGCAACAGCATGACTTGTGGTAAGAAAAAGCCGTTGGGGTTGGCACTGGGACATAGTGCACAAAACCACTGCAAGCAGAGCTGGCATCCCATGTGCACACTGGTTCAAATTCTAGCTGTACCACTTCTGATCCCACTCCCTGCTGAAGCGCCTGGGAAAGGACTACAGAACAGCCCCAGTGCTTGGGCCCCTGTACCCACAATAGGAGACCTGCACCCAAGTGGGCCACCCAGAGGAAGTTCTAGGCTTCAGACCAGCTGAGCCTGTGGCCGTTCCTGGAGGGTGAGCCAGTGAAGAGGAGGACCCCGTTTCTTTTTGGGTGGAGAATGCTGTTTTCGCCCCAGTAAGTTAGGTGTGGCAAGAGACTGTGCACAAAAGGAAGGATAACGAAATGTAGTCCAAAATTATCCCGCCTCATCCGGGCCATCTTCATCAGGCGGACAACATCCCTATTTCCTCCTCAAAGCCTCATACTCACACTGATCTATTCCGACCATGTATAATTAACGTATTCCATATGTTCTTGTAAGTATGAATGACTGCTGTACCTGAGGGATGACACACAGGAACATACCTTCTCTGATCCAGAGTGTGGGTAACCCGCCCCACAGCATTGCTTCGTATCAGCAGGAGGCAGCCGGAAAGAAACACAGCGGCCCACCTCCGCGCCTATCCCGAGTCAGCACGGCTGGAGCAAGCAGGCAAACACAGCCACTCCCTCCCCGAGCTTCACTACAGACAATCCGGCCTCGCTCCCAGGGACTCAGCCTGCATCTCAGACAAGCCCAACCTAAACCTCCCAGGCTCCCACACTCTGCACTCCTCTCTACCCAAACAGCGTCAAGGGAGTAAGAACTCACTGAGCGATAAACCATGAAGTTCCCTCAATTCCAGCACCTCTCCAATAGCTCTTAAGCTATCAAAGGCACAAGTTACGGCTGAAGGGCCAGCTGCTGCTGCAGGGCCAGCCTGCTGCTGAAGGCCCAGCCTGCTGCTGAAGGCCCAGCCTGCTGCAGGGCCAGCCTGCTGCTGAAGGCCCAGCCTGATGCTGAAGGCCCAGCCTGCTGCTGCAGGGCCAGCCTACCGCTGAAGGTTCTGCCTTCCTAAGCCCCAACCTACTTCGGCCAGCTTCCTTTGTGTATGGCTGGAGTCAGCCACCTCTGTAGGATTGATCTTTCCTTAATAATAAATGCATTTTTAATGTGAAAAATATATAGGGTTTGTCTTAAAGATTTATTATTTATTTTTTTATTGCAAAGTCAGATATACAGAGAGGAGGAGGATCCTCTGTCCAATAATTCACTCCCCAAGCGACCGCAACCATCAGAGCTGTGCCAATCCGAAGCCAGGAGCCAGGAATTTCTTCCAGGTCTCCCACACGGGTGCAGGGTCCCAAAGCTTTGGGCAGTCCTCCATTGCTTTCCCAGGCCATAAGTATGGAACTGGATGGGAAGAGGGGTGCCAGGATTAGAACCGGAGCCCATATGGGATCCCAGCACATTCAAGGCAAGGACTTTAGCCACTAGGCCACCACATCTGGCCCAAAGATTTTTTTTTAAGATTTATTTATTTATTTATTTATTTTTATTATTGGAAAGGCGGATATACAGAGAGGAGAGACAGAGGAAGATCTTCCATCCGATGATTCACTCCCCAAGTGAGCGCAACAGCTGATACTATGCCGGTCCGAAGCCAGGAGCCTCTTCCAGGTCTCCCACGTGGGTGCAGGGTCACAAAGCTTTGGGCCGTCCTCAACTGCTTTCCCGGGCCACAGGCAGGGAGCTGGAAGGGAAGCGGGGCTGCCGGCGCCCATATGGGATCCCGGGCATGCAAGGCGAGGACCTTAACCACTGCGCCACCGCGCCGGGCCCAAGATTTATTTTTATAGGAAACAAATTTACAGAGATGTTGAGGGCAAGCCCCCACTCCTACAGACTCCTACCCTGCAACTCAAACCAGCCTAACCCCCAAAGCGGCCACAACAGCTGGAACTGACTTATGTGAAACCAGGAGCCAGAAGCTTCTCCTGGGTCTCCAAGGCAGATTCAGGGTCCCTAGACTTCGGGTCATTCTCTACTGCTTTCCCAGTCCACAAGCAGGAGCTGGATGAGAAGTCATCCAACTTCGACATGAACTGGCACCCATTCGGGACTCGTGTGTGCAGAGTGAGGATTTAGCCACTGAGCCATTGCGCCAGGTCCATGGATTTGTTTATATTATGGGATGTTACTGTGAATATGACAATATAGTTCAGAGGTCTTCTGGATTTTAAGAGTAAACATTTCTACTACATCTTTACCATTCCCTGCCCACAGGAAAGCTGTAAAAATGATAGTGAACAGTACTGACTTGATACACACACATAATGCAGGCTTATTTTCATGATTAAGATACTCCTTTATTAACATCCAAAAAAAACTTCACTCTTACACTAGAAAAATAAATGTTTCTTTAATGATTAAAGAAACATTGATCTTATAGTATCTTCAGTATGTACTAGATTTGATATTGATCGGGTGTGCTGGGACTATCAGGAAATGACCAAGAGCAACTAACAAAACATCTACCTAACAGCCAAGAAATATATATATTTATATCTAGGTTTTATATATGAGTGACAATGCAAATTAATCTTAACTTCATGTTTTCTAAATATTTACTTACTATTTATTTAAAAGGCAGAATGACAAAAGTCGAGAGAGAGAGAGAGAGAAATAGTGGGATCGTTGATGTGCTTGCGATAGCCGGCTTCCCAGACGGCAGGAACTCCAGTACTTGGCTCATCTTCCACAGCCTCCAACGTAAAGCTTTTACCTGCTGAGCCGTAAGGCCAGTCCAATTTAATAGTCTTCTTTTTTTAAAAAGTGCTCGATATAAATTCAGATCTAAGCTATGAACCTGAGGTTTACAACGAAGCAGTAATGGATGGATCAGCGTCAGTTATCACAACGCGGCAGCAGATGCGGGTTCAGTGAGAGCGCCCATTATGCTTTCGGTGCCCCTCGATCCGATCCTGAAGCCAGGCCAGGGCACCCCTCGATCCGATCCTGAAGCCAAGCCAGGGTGCCCCTCGATCCGGATCCTGAAGCCAGGCCAGGCCAGGGCAGGCGCTGCTGGCTGGAGCCCACAGAGCTGCTTCTGTTCCTCCCCTACCATGGAAGACAGAGATGGCCGGAAGGCCACACACACTGGGTCTAAGTTCTCAAAGAATTCACACAGTGGGCAAGAGACACCAACTCCACCAGGACAGCCACTGCCTCCTTCATTATCAACACAACCACGACAGAGGCCTTCTCCTTGATAGGCACGGAAAGCATCCATCACCCTTCACAGGAAAACCAAAAAGGACACAATACCAAAACATGGATTTGAAAACAAATGTTTCTAAGACAGGCAACCCGCTGACTGAGCCAGGGGACACAGCAGAGGAGGAAGGCTCCAGGGGGGTGGCAGGGAAGGGGGAGAGGGGAACAGGCAAAGGGCAGGTGGCCCAGCCCTCAGTTCTCCAAGAAAGGGCCAGGGCCCAGTCAGAGCCACCTGTGGCCTGCTTGCCAGCATTGACTTTACCAACTAACTTATCCATCCCAGCCACTTCTGTACACTTGCGGGCAAACTTTCCTACTGAAGGTTTTGTATTTCTGCCTATAAACACTGCACTGTTACCCACTCAGTGACAAGCCAAGGCTGAGATGGTAAGCGGCAGCCACTCTGTGAGGCTGGAAGATCCCTGGGCGGGAACTTCCGCTACTACCACTGCCCAGGAAACTCCTTACAACAAGCAGAAAAAGAAAACACTTCACTTTCCATTTTATTGTTCAACAATTGGGGCAAAAGACTGGATTTTCTAGAGCTGCGATAGAAAAGGGTAAGACAGCTTGCTCTCCAGGCACGGGCTGCTTCTGACAATGATGACCTCCTCAGCCAGCTCACCCATGGTTCAACCAAGACTACATCTACAGAGCATGTGCTATCTGCATAAATCTTCAAAATAAGCAATCACTCCTTACAATATGTTTATGAAATGTGAAAACCAACATGGAAAACGTTGCAACACAACAGCCTACATGGGGATTTACTGTAACACAGGGATGAGGAGCGAAGCGCCCTCAGCACAGCGGCGGCGGGTCACTTTTTGCAAGCCAGGTATCTCTCGGTGACATTCTCCCAGTTGATGACATTCCAGATGGCTTTCAGATAATCAGGTCTGACGTTTTTATACTGCAGGTAATAAGCATGCTCCCATACGTCAATCCCCAGCAGTGGAATAAGGCCTACCAAAGGAAAACAGAAAACCCATAAACTTCACTGGGAAACATCACACCTTCCCAAGCTCACACAGTTTGAAACAATCCCACCCATTCCTATTTTTTTATATAAGAGCAAAACTGCATAAAAATGACTACTCAAGGGCCCAGCGTGACGGCGCAGTGGTTAAGGTCCTCGCCTTGCACGCCCGGGATCCCATATGGGCACCGGTTCTATCCTGGTAGCCCCACTTCCCTTCCAGCTCCCCGCCTGTGGCCGGGGAAAGCAGTCGAGGACGGCCCAAAGCTTTGGGACCCTGCACCCGCGTGGGAGACCCTGAAGAGGCTCCTGGCTTCGGATCGGCATAGTATCGGCCGTTGCGCTCACTTGGGGAGTGAATCATCAGAGGGAAGATCTTCCTCTCTGTCTCTCCTCTCTGTATATCCGCCTTTCCAATAAAAAAATAATAAAAAATAAATCTTTAAAAAAAAAAAATGACTACTCAAGTTAAGACTGTAAACTCTGCCCTCTGCAGAAAGTGGGACAGGTTCTCAGAAGCAACGCTGAGGGTGAGTGCTGTAGGGAGCCTCAAGTTGCTGAGCCCTACTTCCCACTCAAAAAGATATCAAAAGAAATCTGCTTGGGCCCAGCGCCATGGCCTAGTGGCTAAAGAACTCACCTTACACGTGCCAAGATCCCATATGGGCACCAGTTCTAATACCGGCAGCCCGGCTTCCCATCTAGCTCCCTGTTTGCAGCCTGAGAAAGCAGTCGAGGATGGTCCAAAGCTTTGGGACCCTGCACCTGCGAGTGAGACCAGGAAGAAGTTCCTGGCCCTTGGCTTCTAATCAGAGCAGCTCCAGCCATTGCATCCACTTGGAGAGTGAATCAATGGATGGACAATCTTCCTCTCTGTCTCTCCTCTCTATATATCTGACTTTGCAATAGAAATAAAGACTAAAAAAAAAGGATATCTACTCTGGAGGGCCCAGCGCAAGAACCTAGCAGTTAAATGCACCAGGATGCAGCAGCTCCACTTCCCATCCAGCTCCCTGCTTGTGGCCTGAGAAAACAGTCAAAGCTGGCCCAAAGCCTTGGGACCCTGCACCCGCATGGGCGATCTGGAAGAAACTCCTGGCTCCTAGCTTTGGATCAGGTCAGTTCCAGTCATGGTGGCCACTTGGGAAGTAAGCCAGCAGACTTAAGATCTTACCCTCTTTGTATATAAACTAAAACTGAAATATCAATGAAGTAGTCACAGGATGTGGTTAAGAAGAACTTGCATTTTCTAACATCTCAGCCACTCAATACCATGTCAACTAAGTCCATAATGTTGTAAACTGCTATCGATGTTATCTTATGGCTTTTAATTGGTTGGGACGATATTCTGCCAGCTCTGCTTTTAGACAAGGATGGTCTCCCCAAGAAACTGCTGAATTTATCTGGACAAATAAGATGCTGGACTCTATGCATGGTACATGCTTGCACGACTGCATTTGAACTGTAATACAGCAATAAGGTGGAGGAATCCACCATGGAGGGAGGGTACAGGGAGCGGTTAGGGGAAACGCAGAGCCTATGAAACAATGTCATAAAATGAAATGCAATAAAAAATGATTAATAAATAAATAAATATTCTCAATAAAGCATTAAGACCATATTGAAAAAAAAAAGATCTTAACCTCTGTATCTCTTTATCTCTATAAATCTGACTTTCCAATAAAAATAATGGTAAGCCTCTGCATGGAGTCCCACATGGGCAGCAGTTCTTGTCCTTGCTGCTCCATTTCCAATCCAGCTCCCTGCTTACGGTCTAGGAAAGCAGCAGGGAACGGCCCAGCCTTAGGCCTCTGTACCCATGCGGGAGACCCGAAAGAAGCTTCTGGCTTCAAATCAGTTCTGCTCTGGTTGCTGTGGCCATTTGGGAAATAAACCAGAGAATGGAAAAATTCTGTCTCTCTGTTGTACCTCTGCCTTTTAAATGAAAATAAATAAAATATTTTAAAAAGAGAAACCTGCTCTGCTTCCAAAGGCTAACTTTGTTTTTTAAAGTTTTATTTATTTTTGTTGGAAAGTCATATACACACAGAGAAGGAGACAGAGAGGAAGATCTTCTGTCCACTAATTCACTCTCCAAGTGGCCACACGGCCAGTGCTGAGCCAACCCGAAGCCAGGAACTTGGAACTTGTTCCGGGTCTCCTACACAGGTGCAGGGTCCCAAGGCCTTGGACAGTCCTCCACTGCTTTCCCAGGCACAAGCAGAGAGCAGGATGGGAAGCGGGGGCACCAGAACATGTGCCCATATGTGATCCCAGAGCATGTAAGACGAGGATTTTAGCCACTAGGCTACTGTGCCAGGCCCACACCAAATCTCAAGGCACACACATCAGTTAGGAGCTATTAACAGAAAGTTAACAAAGAAAACTGAATACAAATAAAACTTGAAGAGTGTAAATGAAGAACCCACTTCTATCTATGAAACCCTCTCCAGAGAGGCCATTTGGCACAGTGATTAGACACTGCCTGGGGCAGCCACAGGCATAGCAGAATGCCCAAGTTCAAGCCCCAGCTCCCCTCAGATTCAAGCTCCTGCTCAGGTAAACCCTGACGAGAAGCAGGAAAGAAGCAGGCGAGAAGCAGGAGAAGCAGGCGGGGGCTCAGGAGTCCAGCTCGCCCCACCCCCCCAAGGCCTGGACGGAGCTCCTGCCCCCAGCTCTGCAGGCAGCTGGGAGTGCACTGGGTCTCCCTCCTCTTCTAAGTGTCAAGAGCACTCGAACTAAATGTCAGCTTTCTTCCTCTGTGAAAACAACCCTCTGCCTGTGCGCCTTGACCAGCCGTACTGGAGAGCTCTCTGGTACCTTACCGTCAACAACCGAAGCAGCAACGTTTACCAATGGCTTTTCCCAGGAACAGAAAGCTGCAGAGTTTGCTCTTCCCAGCACACTGCAGTGACTAACCTGACTCCACGGCCCTCAGGCCTCCTGCACCGTGTGGCTGTTACCATTCTTGCGGCTGGGTCTAGCAAGTAAGGGATGTTAAGAGGGTGCTGACGCAGGTAGAAGCGTTATGCAGCCAATCCCGCAGCCAACCCGTGACGGGACTGCCTCCCACACTCTCCACTGGCACCTTACACTGGGCTTCCCATTCCACCAGGCCCAAGAGAAAGAAAACACAAGAGCGGAGAGCCCAACCAGAGCCCCAAGCCACGGAACTCCAGGGAGGCAGAGTTCCGAGAGCCGAGTGCGGGTTCTGCAGCCAGACCTGGACACTGCTGCTTAACTAGCTGAAGCTTCTGCTGTCAGCACGTGCAATTATGTAAGCTCACCTTCACTCTCTGTAGAATGAGGGTTTCAATGTAAAACAGGTATTTTATGTATTTGTAAAATTACATATTTACTGTAAAAAAAAAATGTGTTTTCTCCAGAACCTGTGGAACATCTTTACCCAAGACTCAGGTGCTATCTGTGAACACTTGTGAAGTTGTTACACGTTCCTGAAGAGTTTGAACACGACTAGCTGGCTTGCTTCTACAGAGCAGCTTTACCAGAAGCCGCCTCGCCTGAGACGGAATCGGAAGCAGCTGTAAGATCTAACCTGTGGTTCCTTGCAGCGGGTCCTGGTTGGCACAGGCGGCGATCTGCAAGCGTCCCTGCTCCTTGTTGAAACCCAGCCAGCCCCATCCTGAGCCTTGGACACCCGCAGACACAGCGGTCAGCTTCTCCTTGAACTTGTCGAAGGAACCAAAATCACGTTTGATGGCTTCAAGTAACTCCCCTATTTAAAAAAATACCAGAAAGCACCCCAAAATGAGCAGCTCTCAACCATTACAGTGAAACACATTCCGTACATGAAGACATTCTCATATTGCCCAGGAAATGAGACGACAGCATGGCAAGGCTGTGGCAGATCATGGGATTCCCCATGCCCCTTCCGCCCAGAGCCAACAGCCCCAGGTTTCACGATGTGGTTCAGGCACCATCTTAATGACGCTGGCTAGGACTTCTTCACCCCCTGCACCATTCTCACCAAAAAAGATTTCCCGTCAGCTTCCTTTCTGTTTCCCCAGTGGACAGTTCCGCTTTGACCTCTACCCTAGCTACTCCAGGTCCTTCCTCACATGGCAGGTTCTTCCCCAAAGCAGCTGTATTTTCCCTTAATTATACCTTTCCAATTCCTGAACTGAGGGTTCCCTTTAAGAACATTAATGTACATATAATGTAGAACATTATAGATTATCATCAACCAAATCCACAGGATCATGTCTTTCACTGTACTAGTTTAAAAGTCTTCACCTTTTACAAGCACAAGTAATGGGATCAAGAGATACAGGTAATACAGAATGGCAGAAAGCACCAAAACCATCAGCTGAAGGTGGGCAGGATCTGACGTGATGTGACACACCTCGCCAGGATCATGCTATGGTAGGAAGACCAAACTTAGAAAAGAATAACTAGCCCATTTCCTACATTTTCTCACTAATTCACCATTTGCTCAAAATGAAATTGTAGATTTCGAATTACACTGGCTGTTGTAACACCGAATAAAACCAAACACAGGATGGCTTTGTGACGTAGCATAAAAAGCCACCATCTGTGATGCCAGCACCCTACCTCAGGTACCAGTTCAAGTCCTAGCTGCGTCACTTCCCACCAGCTTTCTAGTGCATGTCAGGGGAGGCAGCAGATGAGGGCCCTGCCAACCCCATGGGGGGACCTGCAGCAAGTTCCCATCTCGTGGCTTCAGCCTGGCCCAGCAGTAGGTGCTGCAGCCATGTGGAACATGAACCAGTGAATGAAAGACCTCTTTCCCTCTGCGTCTGTCATTCCCCCTCTCACTGACATTCTGCCTTTCAATGCACACACACACATTAAGAATGCAGAAACTCAAGGCACATTCAAGGAGTCCAGCAACAGGGAGACCCAGCCTCAGATGGACACCCCTGTCCTCCCTTCCCTGGGGGACGGGGACACATGAAGACATCTGGGCTTCCACATGTGACATAGGCAGGCCAGTGCACAAAGCCTCTGGCTTTGTTCTCCCCCTCCTTACCAGCACTTTTTTTTTTTTTTTTGAGAGGAGGACCCTAGAAAACCTGCCTTTCCTAGAACAGAAGGCTTTCTAGCAATTAGAAAGTATAATAAAATAATAATAATACCTTGTAGGCCCCTTAAAAGCAATAATGTACCTAATTCTCACAGCACATCCCATCGCCGTCCAGGATCAGGCAGATGAAGGGTTCCAGGCACATATATATCCCAGCCCAGGGTCGGGAGGCAGAACCCATTTCCATCTTTCCCTATCACATTGCACATTCAGAACAAGAGTGTGGGACAAGTTCCGTGTGTGACAACATAAAACCAGCCAGTTTAGCGCCATGAATGCTTTTTCCACCTGACACATGTCCCCTTGAGAGTCGCTACTTGGTTGTCCTTGATGTGAAAACTACACCACGAGGACACCTCCCCAAGACTGAAGCTGAGCACCCATCCCCACCGGGCACACGACGCAGACAAGGAAGCAACAGCACACACCAACCTTTAGGTTCCCCGCCACCATTAGGGCTCAGGTTTGTCCAAAAAATGGTGTGGTTGATGTGGCCTCCGCCATTGAACTTCAGGGCAGGCTGCAGAGCCACCTGGGCCGTGACATCCCCTGAAATGTTAAAACACAAACAAGCTTTTCAAAATGCTTGCTTTTGTAACCCCTCTGCATGCTATTCTTTTTCTTTGCAAGACATCAGATAAATGGCCTAGTTTACCTACGACATCCCTGTTGACCCAAAATCCACCAATTTCAGATTCTATCGAAAAACAACAAAACCCCTGCACAAATTGCTTCTTCCAGTGGATTTCAGCTCACTTGGTTGCATGCTGAAATCCGCTGGTCCAAGTCCAGCAGTGTCAGTAGAAAATTCACTCCCAAGTGCCAAAGAGCTCGGAGTTCTCTAGAAAAGATTTCAGCAAATCAACACCAAAAACAACATCAAAGAAAGTATTGTAATGGAGCACTGAACTACAGGCTCAGGGTGCAAACCACGGGGATTTCTAAGACAGACTATTCATCAAAAAACACTTCAGCTGCATTAGTAAGAGACAATAAATTCAAAACTGAACTGATTGTGGTTTCTTTATTATTATTATTATTCATTTTATTTATCTGAAATTGAGAGAAAATCTTTCACCTGGCTGGTTTACTACCCAAACCTGCAAAGGCCATGGCTGGGCCATACCAAAGCCAGAAGCCAGGAGCCAGGAGCCAGGAGCTTCTTCTGGGTCTCCCACATGAGTGCAGGGGCCTAAATATCTGAACCATCTTCTGCTACTTTCCCAGACCCTTAAGTAGGAAGCCGCATTGGAGTGGACAGCTGGGACTCAAACCAGCATTCATATGGGCTGTCAGCACTGCAGGCAGCGACTCAACTTGCAGTGCCAATACCAGCCCCAACTCTCAATAAAACCAGCTGTTTTTCAGGACACTCCTGGAAACCCAAAAGAATTTTTTTCCAATACTTTCTTTAAAAACTATTAAGTAACTTATTTATTTGAAAGGAAGGGTTACAGGGTGGGGGGAGATAGTCAGCCCAATGGTTTATTCCCAACATGGCCACAAGCCAAGGAACTCCACCCAGGTTGCAGGAGCCCAAGCCCTGGGCCAGGAACTCCATCCAGGTGCAGGGACCCAATCCAGGTGCAGGGCCCAAGCCCCAGGCCATCCTCTGCTGCTCTCCCAGATGCATCAGCAGGGAGCCAGACTGGACATAGAGCAGCCAGGGTTTGAACTGGCACCTGTGTAGGATGCCAGCATCACAGATGGCAGCTTACTCTAACAGGTCACAATGAGAGCTTTCCTTCCCTCCCATCCTACACCCACTCCACCAACATATCCAGCAACAAAACCAGCCCCACCATTAAAATTCATTCCAAAACCATCACTTCTTGCCAGCTCTGCTGCAACCCACTGGGAGCACAACCCCAACACTGCCCCCTCCCTCCCTGGATACACCCACCCCCAGTCCCGGTTTCTCCGCAGTAATCCAGCTTCCATGCACCTGGGAAGGCAGCAGATGACAGCCCAAATCCCCACAGCCATGTAGGAGACCCGGGTGGAGTTCCAGCTCCCGGCTGGGGCCTGGCCCAGTCTCAAGGAATTCACTTCTGTACCATTCAACACTTTAGTGGGCCTCAGTTCAACATTGTCCTCAAAAACACTAAAAGAAGAGTTAAATATTTTTGGCTGGAAAGTATTTATGGGAGCAGGCATTTAGCACAACAGTGAGGATGCCACCTAGGTCACCCATAGCCCATCCTGGAATGCCCAGCTCCATTTCCGATCCCAGCTGCCTGCCACCCAAGGCAGAGGACAGGCTTGGGCTCCGGCCTGGAACAACAGCCTGGCCCAGCCCTGGTTGTTGCAGAAACTTCTTGCAAATGAAGGATCTGTCTCTGGCTCTCTCTTCTTGGTCTCACTCCACCTTTCAAAGACATTTTTTTTTTTTAATCAGTGACCTGTTATCTTATACCCTTTGTTCCAAACATGAAAAATTTAACCTTTCACAATATTTAAAATATAACTTTAAGTAAGAGAAAGCTCTGCAGGTCCTTATTAACAGCATAAATCAGAGCCTTCTGTGAGACACAGAAAGCTTTGATTTTCTAAAAAAAGAACTGAAGTCAAGTTGCTTTAAAAAATGTGAAGACAAAAGTTCCCAGTTGTCAGGAAACACTTTCACAACTGGGGCACCCCCGGCCTCGCCATCACCCTTCCCGCATCTGTGACTTCCTAAGTCATGGGGTCTGTCCCACACTCAGGGACATGACGCAACTGTCTCAAGGAAAACTTCCAGAATGTCGCAAGTTCCTGACGTGTTCGGTCTAACTGGACACTGCTGAAGTACTGCTCTTTCCCACTAGATGCCCCCAGACAACAAGATTTGGCCGCTTAACCATGACTTAGGGTTCACAGGCTTAAATCAATAAGGAAGGGAACATGATAGCCCATTATTTGCCTTGACTAAACCACTGCCTAACAGAGCAAAAGGAAAATACTATTTTGTACACAGGTATTAAATCATTGTAAACATGCACAAAAATCAACCCACTACTAGTTCTGTCAATAGAGTTCTTAAGGAAAAAATTTACTCCATTTTATATTTTAATTGAATGACGGCTATTATTGAAAAATAACAGCTTGTGAACTTTGACCTCCAAGCCAAAACCAAAAAAAAACCGCAGCAAGCAACCTCAGTTAGGCCAGGTGTTTCTGGTAACGAGCATCCCCATGCTAACTCGTGCCTCTGCCTCTCCCACACCAGCAAGACCAGAGACCACATCAAGTTCCAAGCTGGGCTCTGACAGCAAGTGTGCGGGGGACGCCGATAATGACGGTGACCACAGAGTGCGACCCTGCCGGAGGCTGCGGGCAACACAGCTGGACCGCTCCTGATAAAGAGGGCGGCTAGGCCACTGGCACTCCTGCCTCTCTGGCTGCCAGGCCAGGCTCCCGGGCATCAGGCGGCCTGCTGGACACCAAGGGCACCTGAATATGCCACGGCAAGGGGCCCTACGACACAGGCCCTCCCGGGAGTGACCACATTGCTCCGAGCTCACACGTCGGTTGCTAACGAGCAAAAGCATGTTACATAGCAGAGCTTTCCTGAGATTTTACTTAATACTTTTTTGAGACAACATTTGTCAGTGACGCTACACTTAAAAGCTGACAGACAGGGGGCTTGCAGAAGGGGGAACTCAAAATGCAATTAACCTAAGGCAGGCTATTATTTTTTTCCAAAGATCCACTTACTCATCTGATAAGAGTTCACTCCCTAGACAGCCCACAGAAGCCAGGCCAAAGCCAGGAGCTTCGTCCGGGTCTCCCATGCAGGCGCAAGGGTCCGAACACTTCGGGCATCTTCTCAAAGCGGGCTACTCTTTCAGCTGCTCATTTTGTGCGAGTGGCCCCTGGGAGCAAAGGACCCCCGCCCTGTGGTCGGCATCAGCAACATGGGCACCCAAGGAGAGAAGACACATGTTTCTAAGGGCGAGACAACCCGAGCAACCATTAGCCTGACACCCACCCTTGGCCAGCGCCTCCCGGTACTTGTCCTCCGTGACGTTCAGGTTGTTCACGTAGGCCGCGTGGTGCTTGCTGTGGTGCAGCTCCATGATCTGCGCGTTGATGTGCGGCTCCAGGGCGCCGTAGTCGTAGGGCAGGTCGGGGAGGCTGTGCTTCTGCCTGGAGCCCAGACACGCCAGGGCCGGCGCCAGCCTCCCGCGCGTGCTGCAGGGACAAGCGAGCACCGGCCGGCGGTCAGCTGGGGTCCCGCAGCTCCCAGGCCAGCCAGCCCGAGCCGGCAGGTGCACCGAGGCCGCGCGAGGCCCCGACACACCTGTGCCCGCAGCCCGAGCCGGCCCTAGCACCCCCGGAGAGTCCCCCGGACCCACCGGCCCGGAGCGGCCACTGCGGTCAGTGCAGCTGCGAGTCCGGGATACACCTGCCGCCCGCCGGGGTGACCCTGTCCCCGCCGCGAGCCCCCTGCCCCGCACCTCAACGCCACTCGGCCCAACATGCTGCCGCGTCTGCCTGTCCCGGGTTCCTCAGCGAACAGGAGAGCGAGCGAACCCAACTGCGGAGTTGAGCGGAGTGTCGGGATGGCCCCGTGTCCCCGAAGCCCGCCGCCCGGCGCAAGGGCAGCCGCTGCCCCGCCCTCGGGCCCGCCCAACCGCGGAGGGGAGGACACGGACACTGCGCGGGTCCTGCCCGCGCTGGCCGCACAACCTGGGCCTAGAGGGCCAGGGAAATGGACCTGAGAAAGTGACAGTCGCTACGGCTACAACCACTGCTGGCCGTGCCGCTGCGGGTCGTCGCCACGGAACGGTCGCTGCTTTGCTCCTCCCCTGCCCTGGGTAGAGATGGTACGGTCCGCAGCCCGCCCCGACTCCGCCCCCCGGTGTGCGCTCCCGGAGTTGGACCGACCCGAAGCTGCTTCCGGTGGCCTGGGCAGCGCGGCACCTGAGGCTAGCGAGGCCCGGGCACCCGCTGCGAGCGACCTTGTGCCTCGGCTGGCCCGGGGCCGGTCCTCGGGAAGACGGGGCCTCGATGCCAGTTCAGGACGCTGTAGCGAAGGCGCAGGCCCTGGGCCCCTGGGACCTGGGCTCTGTTCACGCCGTGCCCCTGGCGACCTTGCTTGGAGTCAGCTAACCTTGGGATCTCCTCCACCATTGCAGGCGCCAGGCTGCTGGCCAGGGCCCTGGGCCTGCTGGGCCAGTCGTGTTTGGGGCACCTCCGTGCCCGCCCGCAGCTCAGGATGTGCGCACCTGTGCCCTTATCTTACCTCGAAGGAGGTATGGTGCACCCCAGGTCACCGTTGGTGACAGCAGTTCACCGGAGCTGAGCCACAGTTAGCGCAAGTCAGGATTAGAACCCAGAGCTCATGTTTGGCCTGCCAAGCCCTTCCAGTCCCACTTGGTGCTGTTGTTGGCAGCGGCTGTTTGAACCCAGGAGAATGGCTGAAGAGAAAGGCATTCTTTTCCCCATATGTCAAAGTTTTATTCAGCAATTAAAAGAATGTTCCTGCGACTGGTGTTGTGGTGTAGCAAGAAAGCAGCTTCCTGGAAAACCAGCATCCCACATGGGTGCTGGCTGGAGGCCCAGCTGCTCCTCTTCAGATCCAGCTCCCTGCTCAGGCACGAGGGAAGGTGGAGGGGAGCCCACGCACTCCTGCTTCGCGTGGGAGCCCTGCAACAAGCTCCTGGCGAGAGAGGCTTGCACCTTCCCTGTCTGCCATCTTGCATAGATAGGCTTCCTTTTCTTTATAGGGGTCACAGGAGAGGGTCGCAGCTGCCTGGGATCTGTCCCAATTTCCTATAGCCTGAGATGGTCTGTGCCACATCCAGGCACTGTGGATTAACTTTTCCAAACTACTTCACAGCGGTCTGAGCCCCACCTCGGCCCACACCCACATAACTGGTTGCAGGAGGCAAACCACATAGGTAGAATAGAAATCATTGGAGCAAGTTATTCCAGTATTCATATTCTTGCAACAGAAACCCAGCCACTGTCTTTTTAAATATGTTATTTTACTTGAAAATCAGAATTACAGAGAGGGAAAGAGCAACACAGACAAAGATCTTCCATCTGCTGGTTCGCTCCCCAAAAGGCAGCTACGGCCAGGACTGGGCCAGACTGAAGCTAGAAGCTGGAACTTTCTCCTAGTCTGCCATGTGGGTGCACTAAATCCTTGGTCCATCCTCTGCTGCTTTCCCAGGCCATTGGCAGGAAGCTAGATCAAAAGTGGAGCACCTGGGACACAAGCCAATAGCCATATGGGATGCTAGCATATGGTAGAGGATTAGTTGGCTGTGCCACTGCGCTACCCACCCCCCAACCCAACTGTGTCTTAAACACAGAGAAATTTATTCCCTTGTTTGAAAAATATTTTGGGGGTATGCAGTCCTGGCTGGGGATCGATGGCTGGGGTGATAGCTGGGTGAGGTCGCCAAGGACAAGCTCCTGCAGCCTCAAAGCTGCCTTGTGGTCGTTACAGCTGCTGCTGCAGCAAACTTCTCTCCCGTTCAGCAAGGAGAAAGAACCAAGGGTTGGCTCCAGTTGGCTCCCTTCTCAGGATCTTCCTGATAGAACTACCCAACAAATTCCTCTCACAGATCAAAATGTAGGGACAAAGCTACACCAAGCCCAAAAAGTCTAGAAAACATATTCACTTCGGGCCCAGCGTGATAACCTAGCAGCTAAATTCTCGCCTTTCATGCACTGGGATCCCGTATGGGCACCAGTTTGTATTGCACCCACTCCACTTCCCATCTAGCTCCCTGCCTGTGGCCTGGGAAAGCAATAGAGGGCCGCCCAAGGGCTTGGGACCCTACACCTGTGTGGGAGACCCAAAGGAAGCTCCCGGCACCCAGCTAGGTTCTGGCTGTTGTGACCACTCAGGGAGTGAACCAATGGATGGAAGATCTTTCGCTCTGTAACTCCTTCTCTCTGTAAATCTACCTTTCCAATGAAAATAAATAAATCTTAAAAAAAAAAAAAAAAAAACAGAATAGCCTACGAGAGGCATGGCTCCACTTCGCTCCGAGGTCCATGGCAGGATGTGGCCCACTGGGAACAGAATTTATGGGCACCTGTGCCCATCTCTTGTGTGCCCAGAAGTCTACCCATCCTGGCCCACACTACCCCTCTCCAGCACTGGTCCTTCAGAGAGACATTGGATGAAATCATGGGGAAAAAAGCTGTTTTCATGACAGGGACTTGAATTTGCTTGAAGAACTCTTTGCAATTTGCTGATAGCAAACACACAGCAAAAGGAACCCGTGCTGTGGTGCAGCAGACTAAGCAGCCACTTGCAATGCCAGCATCCCACGTTGGAGTGGTCCTGGCTCCCTCCTCCTGATCTTCCCTCCTTCTGTTCCCTACTGATACACCTGGAAAAGCAGTAGAAAAATGGCTCATGGGTTTGGTCCCTTGCCACTCACAAGAAAGAACCATCTGCAGCTCCTAGACTCCTGGCTTTGAGCTGGCCCAGCCCTGGCCTTTGTGACCATTTGGGGAGTAAACCAACAGATTGAACACACCTCTGGCTCTCTGCGTCTCAATTTAATAATTAAAACCATTAGTCCAGAAGGTCGATCAATTTCTCCCCTGGTGGGTTTGAGTACCCTCTCCGTGACAGGCAAACACGAATGCTTTCATACACACCCTGAATGTTCCAATCTGACTTGAGACCTTAGCCTTGTACTAAACTGGTTGAAAGCTAGCTCAGGGCAGCCGCCAGAGGCCAGCTGCAGCCGAGTTCAGAGCTTGAAGCATGTGGAGTCAGCAAAAAAAGACATGGACACTGTCACTTGGTGCCCCTGCCAACAGCTCAAAAAGCTGCCTTTTCATTTACTCAGACACATCACAAGCTCTGCACAAACATTTAATTGTTCTATTTTTACTTTAAGACTAAAGGGGCATGCACAGACATTTGATTATTCTATTTTTTATGTTTTTTTATTTTTGTTGGAAAGTCAAATATATAAAGAGGAGAAACAGAGAACAAGATCTTCTGTCCAGTGTTTCACTCCCCAAGTGAACGCAATGGCCAGAGCTGAGCCGATCCGAAGCCAGGAGCCGGGAGCTTCTTCTGGATTCCCCACATGGGTGCAGGGTCCCAAGACTTTGGGCCTTCCTCAACTGCTTCCCCAGGCCACAAGCAGGGAGCTGGATGGGAAGTGGAGCAGGTACATTTAACTGCTAGGCTCTTGTGCTAGATCCCCCAGAGCAGATTTTTTTTTTAAGATTTATTTTATTTTTATTGCAAAGTCAGATATACAGAGAGGAGGAGAGACAGAGAGGAAGATCCTCCATCCGATAATTCACTTCCCCAAGAGGCTGCAGCAGCCGGAGCTGAGCCAATCTGAAGCCAGAAACTTCTTCTGGGTCTACCACACAGGGTCAGGGTTCCAAGGCTTTGAGCCATCCTTGGCTGCTTTCCCAGGACACAGGCAGGGAGCTGGATGGGAAGCAGAGCTACTGGGACATGAACTGGCACCCATATAGGATCTCAGCATGTGTTCAAGGTGAGGACTTTAGCCACTAGCTACCATGCTGGGCCCTGATTATTCTATTTTGTACTTCATGGCTAAGCAGATTCTATTAAAGATAGTTCTGTGGGCCTAAGGCCTGGGGACCTTGCACCCATGTGGGAGACCCAGAAGAGGCTCTGGGCTCCTGGCTTCAGATCGGCACAGCTCCGGCCATTGTGACCACTTGGGGAGTGAATCAATGAAAAGAAGATCTTCCTCTCCATCTCTCCTCCTCTCTGTATACCTGACTTTCCAATAAAAATAAAATAAATCTTAAAAAAAAAATGATTCTGCAAAATGCTATATTCATTTTCTTCAGAGTAAGCCATTATTCATTCTTTAGTAGCAGCGCACTGGGCGAGCAGCCAGGACTGCAGGCCAAGGCACGAGCAGTCACCTGCTAATCAGTAACGCCTTCCTACCACATTTCCGTTTCCACAACTTGCCCATCACTTAATGGGAGAACTATGTCACAATAGAAAAAACAAAGATCCAAGAGAAAAGTTTCAAATATTAAACCCCCTACAACTATGGGTCTCACAACCCCGCAAACAGTCCAACAATAAAACGTATCTCTATAATATTTATAAAAGCATCCTTTAATTTCTCCAGCCAAAAAAAAAAAAAATAGCTAACACAGATACATTTTGTATGGTCCAAAGGATTGAGGACAGGCTAACCTTTAAGGTCACAGTAACTGTATTGATCGCCATAGCAGTTTCCGCTCATACTCCCATCACTTCCATCAGTTTGTAGGAATCTTATGCTCTTTCCCAGAAGGTGTGCTACATGTCTGGGCCAGATTCCACGGCAATGGGTAGGCACACAATAAGGTGTCCAGAAATGGCATGGACTTGATTGCACTCCGGTGTGTAGTTAAGGGCCCACTCACCAAGACATTATCAGTAACATTAACTCCCAAGTTCACATCGGTTGTAGAAACCATCTCACAGGGGCAAACAACAATGCCTTATTACAGAATTCTTAGCAGGGTGGTTGAGTGTCCATGCAAAGGGGGTGAAACTGCGTCGAGGCGGTTGGAGAGACATCCGCCAGGCCCTGCTGTACAGCTGGAAGCT